ACTCTAAACTCACGTCTCATATGTATCTGAAACTCACAGGATGAAGGCAAGATCATACACTGTTTGGGGCACACCTTCGTTTGGACTATAAGACCTTACATGAGATCAAGTATGGAACTTTCTCCATGTAGTGGGCATACTGGTGCTGAAAACTTTGGATTCCAATTAAAGATGTTCAACTTCTTTTAGAGAAGGCTTTGTACTATAATGCCCCACAATCAAATCTTTCTGGAACAATTCCTTCAATTTTCTACTTTAGTCTTATGTGGGGATGCACTTGAGTGACGTACAGGGCCACCTGAGGTCAGAACAGGGTCGGATCCCAGGAGCTGCAGGTAGATGAAGTGAAGTCACCTGTCGTGGGTGCTGAGAAATGAACTCAGGCTGTCTGCCACAACACTCTGTGTGGCCCTGGCTGTCCTGGGACAAGCTCTGTAGACCAGGCTGGCCTCCAACTCAGACATGGGCCTGAAGTAGGGATTAAAGGTGCTTACCACCACGTGCTCTTAACCACTGAGCCATCCATCTCTCTAGACCCACAAATCACACTTTGTACCACAGACATCCTGTGCATCTGACTACCTGGCTGAATGCCTGGCACTAAAGCAAGGTATAAGGTTAGGTACTGTATGTGACAGTCACAAGGGAGGGATCTGTCTGTAATTACAGAGCAACGCTGGTAGTTAAAGCAAAGGATGGCTTTCTAACACACTGGCTCCCAAACAACATCCTAAACAACACCCTGACTTCCCAGACTTCCATGATAGTGATTTCTGGGTAAATGAGATAAAAAAAAAATTCCTTTCCCTCTGTATTTCGGAGGGGGTTGTAACTAGGGAGCTTTAGAACAGGTTGTTTAGATTCCATTAATTAAGGTAAACAGACAAGATTCATTCTAAACTGGAAAACCTACAATACTTGGTTATTACCTTTAAAGACATTGTGGGGGATGAGGAAAAACTAATAGGTTCTTTGTTGTTTTGTTTCTTTGTTTTTCAAGACAGGGTTTCTGTGTATTGCTTTGGAGCCTGTCCTGGAACTAGCTCTGCAGACCAGGCTGGCCTCGAACTCAAGAGATCCTCCTGCCTCTCTGCCTCTGCCTCCAGAGAGTGCTGGGATTAAAGGTGTTGGACACCAACTCCCAGCTAGCTTTTGTGAAAGGCAGATAATCTGGATGCTTGTTACCTTAGCATATAATCAGTGAGAGGCCATCTGCTGTACTGTACACAGAAATAACAGGCTATCACTAAAGCACGCACTGCCCCATACACTAGCAACATGAAAACTGGATGACAGGGAAGGTTACAGGGATACATGGAAACACTGCCTCATCTTTTGTTGCATTGGTGAACACAAAATCCTACGTTTTGTCTCGTCATATTTCCTCAGTCAATAAAAAAGAACCAAAGAAACTTGCTAAACACCTTATAGGAAAGCTCATTCTCAGAATGACACAAGTCCAAATAGAATTACAGAATTCAAAATACAGATAAAATAGTCTAACCACCTCAGCTGCTAATAGAATAAGACATATGCCATACACCTAAAAACCAGATGAGTAAATTGAAACCCAATGCTGAATGGCTAAAAAGTTAGAATAAGGGTTAAACATAAGGCCAAGGGCAAGACAATCAAGTCATCTCCCCAGAAGCTGTTGACACCTCACCTACTCCTGCCTGGACAGAAGCATGCGCCTAGCAGAGACTGGGAAAAGCCTCAGGTGTGATGACACAAACTCTCTAAACCAGGGTTCCTCAAGAAGAACCTAAAACCAGATAGCTCAGGAAATTAATGGAACCCGGGAAATTAATGTTTTGAAACTACACTGCTAACATTTCCCTTCAAGATGACCCAAAAGTGAAGTACAGGCTACTAAAAGGGGAGGGAGACACGCCTTTAGTCCCAGCCTCGGGAGGCAGAGGCAGAGGCAGGCAGCTCTCTTGAGTTCCAGGACAGGCTCCAAAGTAATACAGAGGAAACCGGTCTCAAAAAAAAAAAGGGGAGGGGGGAGGTCAATCCAGCTCCTCAGTGTGTTCACTAACAAACCAACCTTTGACAACAGGGTCTTCACACCACCTGTGGAAATCTTTCGGAAATCAATCTTCACTAAAGCCACAGACAAAAATTATCTCCATAATTAAAGAGCCGGGAAAGTAAGTAAAAATTGGAAACTGAATAATATAAATGTGTCTAGCCCACCCTTGAAAGTCCAGCGTTTAACAAGCAAAATAGAATGCAGAGATTCAAGGTAGCCAGTCCGCCACTCGCACAGGGGGAGAGGCCAGACTAAGCTGTGAGAAACGTTAACAACTTAGAAAAGGCTAGCTGGGTATTGGTGAGGAACCAGCTCCTATTCCCAGGGCTAACCCGGCTGTGGTTGTATTCTGTTCATTTCTGGCTGGCCTGGTGCTGTTTATCTTTCAGATACACCTGATGCCTTTTCAGAGGAAAGGCCTCTTAGATTTGGTTCAGAGTATTCAACAAGTGGGCAAAACAGAACTGGCCACAAGACGATAACGTTTGCAGACAGGTAAAGGATGTGCGAGGCTTTAAACACACAGACAGTACCCACATTTTTCTCTCAGGAGAAAAAAAGTATTCAAAACTCCTACCAAAGGTTCAGAAATGTGTGTGTCACTACACCACCCAGAACTCCGCTTACATTTTTCTATTCTCCTGGCCCGCTAAACAGTGACTTTCAGGCCACTCTCTTGAGAAGCACCTTTGCCTGAATTCTAGAGGAAGCACAGACAGCTTCGTGCTCTACAGCTCCCTCTCTGCTCTTCCGGTACTTCCATTACCAAAAAAAAAAAAAAAAAAAAAAACAAACAAAAAAAAAAAAAAAAAAAAAAACCTCGTTCTTCACAAACTCCAACTTCGCCACAAGAAGCCCAAATCCTGTTCTCCAAACCTCAGCTTACATTTTCCGACAGACCTAACACCGAAACACAAGGCTCATCCTTTATTTCAACCCGTCAGCTGGCCAACCGCGAAGTAAACTTAGTATCCTAACTTCCAGTTAACAACTTTACAGCTTGAAAGCATCGTGTGTGACAGCCACGGCGACCAAGTGCCACATGCCACAGACTTGGCTCCCTACTCGGTGTTTACAACCCTGTGCTGTTTTAAGCTAAGTTGAGCGGCTACTGCGTAGGGATGAAAAGGAGCAAACAGATGGTCGCTGACTCCCAGGGAATAAACTCAACCGAAAAGGGTGACACACAGGCTTGCTCCCCGAATCTCTCACACACACACACACACACACACACACACACACACACACACACACACACACACACACACACACACACACACACACACACACACACACACACACACACACACACACACACTCTCACACTCCCTGCCCCGGAGAGGCTTTCCAAGTTGTTATTAAGAAGGCGACCCTGATTGCTTTCCTCGCCTCCTCCTTTACTGAGGGAAGCGCTAGGAAGTCAAGAAGCGAGCCAGAGAAGCCGGGCCGGAAGATGCGGAGCCCCAGAGCATGGAGTCCGCGCAACCGGCGCTTTAAATAGCCCAGGAGAGTTTCCAAGGTGGCCCTGGAGGGGAGGGAGCCGCGGGGCCGCGCGTCCGCAACTGCGAGCGAGTCCCCGGCCCCGGGCAGCGGCGGCCCGCAGGGCCCCGGGCAGCGAGCGGCCCCCAGCCCGCCGGCCGCAGCCGAGCTCGGAGGGCGGCGCGCACCCGGCCGCCTGGGCCGCAGGCCTGGCTGAGCAGCGCCCGAGCGGCCCTACGCCGGCCGGCCGGAGGGACGGAGGGACGGAGGGCCGGGCGCCCACACGACGGCCGAGCCCACGGCGCCCGAGGAGCGGGCGGTGGCCGCGGGACGCGTCCCGACCAGGCCTGCGCGCGTCCCGGCGGAGCCCGGCCCGGCCCGCGCCCGCCCGCCGCCCGCCTACCTGTCTTCGCTCTTGTTTTTCTGTTTCTTCCCCATGGCTCGGCAGCGGCGCTCGCGGCCCCGGCGTCCCGCTCCGGTGTGTCACACGCCCGCCGTCTCCCGGCGCCGCCCGTCCGCCCCGCTCCGCTCCGCTCCGCAGCCGCCGCCGCCGCCCGCACCCGGCTCCACACAGACGCGCGCACCGGGACGCGGCACATATGGTGTGAGCCCTCAGCACGCAAGCGCATCGCCCCGCCGCCTCGGCGTGGGGACGCAGGGCGCGGCTCATCGAGAGCGGCGCGGCGGATAGAGCGTCTCCCGTCGACCCCCGCCGGCCGGCTGGGGGGACCGAGCGCCCCCTAGCGGCAAAGGGGGGGGCTGCTGCACGCCGCGCGGCGACGGCCGGCGGCTCGGCTCCCGCGTTCTAGAACCTGGGGCCCTGCGGACAATGAGGGGTTCCGTTTCGCGCGGCTGCACGCTCCCCCCCACCCCCCGCCCGCGCTGAGAAGTCCCTCGACCCGGCCTGCGTCTCCTCGACCAAGGCTGCAGCTAGTTCATTCGTTACGGCACCGCGAGGAGCCGATGATGAGGGACACGCACCCACTCCGTAACACTGTGTGCATTTATTAACGGGGAAAGACGCGAGGGCGCAGCCACCGCAATATGCACCCTGAACGTGCGCACGTCCTAAAAGTTCGTGTGTCCCGGGGAGTCAGGAGGGAAGATGCTAGCCCGTCGGGTTCTGGGGTCCATGTTACTAGTGCGAGCTACACTTCCAACTTTGGAAACCACTCGGCTCGAAGCCAACCAAAGCCCGCGGTCGCTAGGCAGCAAGAGCGGGCGCGGACGCGCGGCCTGCGCACGAGAACAAAAACTACAATTCCCAGGGTCCTCCGCGCGCATTCCCTCCAGTCGTTAGCCCACAGGTACAGGCCCGGATTCTCGTAGTTCCGGGTGGCGGAGGGGAGACGCACTCCCCGAGGACTTCCGTCACTCGCCGGCCGCCCCTTCCGCGGGGGCGGAGGGGGCGGGGCCTCACACTGTCTCGCGAGAGGACGTTAGCCAATGAACAGGAAGGACCGGCAGAGCTGCGAGGCTGGAAGGTGCGGCGACCCGGTCGGTATTCTTGATCGGCAGCTTCCTGTGTCCCGAGGCGTCACCCGTAGCCCAGGTACGGCAGGGGCTGCTGAGACGCGCGCCGCCGCCGCCGCCGCCTCCGGCTGGATCGGGCGTGGTCGGGGTGGGGCCGGGGTGGGGCGGGGCTGGCGCAGCCGGAGGCCGGGACGCATGCGCCGAGGAGGGGGTGCGGAATCGCCTGGTCCATCCCCACCCGGAACTCCTCCAGCTGCCTCCGGCGCTCCGGGGCCCGGGGCTACGGCTTCCGGTAGGAGTCGGGGGGCAGTGGAGGGCTAGGTGTCCGCCGGTAGGAATGGAAGTCACGGGCGGGGCGCGCTAGGCCGCCCCGCCCCGCGCGGCGAGGGTGCGCTCGAACTCCCGGTCCTGCTCCCGCTCCCGCTCCTGCCTGGAGAAGTGAGGTCGCACAGCCACCATGCCCAGGCTGAGCTTGTTTGTGACGTGATGTTGTGGGGTCCCTGAGATCGGCTGGGCCAGTGCGCACGGGCTTGGTTGCGTTAATGAAAGCGAGGAGACCCCTGCCCCTTCGCGCAGCACCGCTCCGTCCCCCGAATTGGGATCCTAGATGGGGTGTGGGTGCGCAGGCCGGCAGGCAGGCAGGCATCACACCGTTTCCCGCTGCTTAGGATGGAGTTCCTGCCTCGGTTTCGGGAATCCGGCGGGGATAAACCTGTCCCCTGTAAAGCTGCTTTTGTTAGGATATTTCTGAGGAAGTGTAGAAATGAAACTCCTTAGGGCAGTGTCCAAGACCCTGTGTTTAAACAACAGCAAAACCCCCAAAGTGCAGACATAATGCTCGTTTCTTGTGACCCTCCCAGCTTCTGGACCGGTTAGAACAATGGAAGGTAACGGGTCGATCGACATGTTCTCAGAGGTCCTAGAGAACCAGTTCCTCCAGGCTGCTAAGCTCGTGGAAAGTCACTTGGACTCTGAAATTCAGAAACTGGATCAGATCGGTGAAGATGAGCTCGAACTCCTCAAAGAAAAAAGGCTGGCGGCACTCAGGAAGGCCCAGCAGCAGAAACAAGTAACCCTCTCCGCCCGCTCCCTGCGGTCGCCTTGGCACTGTGCTCCTGACCCCTGACCACAGTGTGCTGGCATGTGACCTCCCCGCCTCACTTCACGGTGTTCTGAACTGAACTCTGTCACCGTTAAATGTTTTCCCAGGAGTATAACTTGAGGGGAGACTTAGCCAGGATGTAACGTTTAGTTGAGCTGACGTGTAAAAGAGAGACTAAAACTTGTTTCAGACCAAGCTTAGTGTCCACATATCTAACTGAAAGCACACAGTAGTTCCAGGGGGAGAAGATGTTTCTTAGTGCTTAAGCATGTGCACGTTTTTATTAAATTGTCTTTTTTCTGGGGGGATGGGGTGGCGGGCAGGAACTCACTGTGCAGCCATGACTGGCCTGCTTCTGCCTCCAGGAATGCTGGGATTGAAGGTGTGTACCACCACACCCCAGTTCGTGTTTTTTTTTTTTTTTTTAACAAAAACTCAGTGAGATGATTGGTTTATCATACCCACTTCCAAAAGAACATGAAGGCTCAGAAAGATCATCAAAATTCTTTCTAGTTGAGTAAGTGGTGTGAAGGGGATTGAAACTTTTCTTTTTCTAATTTTTAATCACCTGGCAGAAAGGCACAGTGAGTGTCTAGTTGAGGTGACAAGCTCCCTGCCACCAGAAAGGTGGAACAGGCTGAAAGTTCTCAGGCTCGTGCCTTGGCTTGTGAAGTTGAATTGTAGGTGAGGTTTTCCTCGGTTCTGAACACCACGTGAGTAGTCCTGAGGACTCTGCTCACCGATGGCTAGTCTAGAAGCCCTTGGCTTTTGAGATTGTTACCAGGAAGTGGGTGGGCTGCTGAGCTGCTGCAGAAACCACACTGCCCCCCAAATCGATGGTTGTTTTCATGGGATGGTTTGTTTTGCCGTTTGTAATTATGTCTTATTTTTTGAGATTATAATACATCATTTCACCCTCCGTCCCATAGGCTCCCTTTCAAATTCATGGCCTCTGTTTCTATCGATTGTTATTACGTTCATATAAAGGCTGACCACTTGGTCCTGGGTAACGATTGGTGTGCTCTTCCCTGAAGAAGACTGCTCCCATTCTCAGCCTTCCGTAGTTTCCTGTAAGAATATTCAACTGAGTTTGTGTGTCTCAGTCCTCAGCGGTAGAGCTCTTGCTAGCCTGCTCCTGGGTTCAGTCCCCAGCATCACAGAAAGAAACATACAAAAAAAAAAAAAAAAAAAAAAAAAACTTAGAAAACAAACAGAAAAACCCTTTTGTAACAATTTGGCTCAAATGATCCTGATTTTAGTGGTTTAAAGAACACACACATGGAAGTTAAGCGGGTATTTTTGTATTATGTTCCTCAAACCTAAATTCCTACTGTGAAGCTTCTAATGAAGCAAATGAATTACTGAGATGGAATCATCTTAGCTCATGCTATGGAGAACTGTCATACATGCCCACAGAATGGTTTTGCATTGACAAGTTCATTGCTGAAAGGAATGCTCTTTGCTATGAGATGGAATTGGTTTCTTTAGAAGATAGCGCAGTGACTAAGACACTTACAGTACCAAGTATCACCGAAAGACTTTTCATCTGAGTTGTGTGCTTCCTTTGACATTAGGAGTGGCTCTCTAAAGGACATGGGGAGTACAGAGAGATTGCCAGTGAGAGAGACTTTTTTCAAGAAGTCAAGGAGAGCGAAAAGGTGGTTTGCCATTTCTACAGAGACACCACATTCAGGTAACTTTGCTTTCCCTCCCTGAAGTCCGTGCTCCTCTGGGAATGGTGCCCCTCAGCCATGTTCCCACGGTGTAGCTCTAGAGACATCGTAGAACCCAAACCCTGATTGCCCCCTCACTGTGCTGCTGTGTTTGCTGGGAAGGGGGAGCAGCAGCTTTCATAAATGGTGTTTATCCATTCACTCTGTCCTCTTGATGAGGACATAGTAAGTAGCTTGATCGTTTCATTGGAACCTTAGCTGGAACTGCCAGGTTTGGCTAAGAGTAGTTTTCCTTAGGGCACCTCAATCAGTGAATCTAAGGAACCCCTTAGGGGGAGTCACACACACACACCCCCAAATGACTGATATTTTTTTTTTCTTATTTTAGAGATTGATTTATTTGTTATGTATACAGTATTCTGTCTACAGGCCAGAAGGGACACCAGATTATTACAGATGGTTGTGAGCCTCCGTGCCCATCTGGCCTTTGTCTTAGCCTCAGAACCCACCCTCTTCGTTATCTACACCTCCTCAGAGGTGGAGTGCCTGAGATTCCTCCTCTAAGATAATGAGAGCAAATACTGGGAAGAATTAGAGACATAGCAGAGCATTGAACACTTTCCCTAAGGGGTTCCGCTGAGAGCAGATAAGGTTGAGGTTGCTTTCACTTGTTTGTCTTATGACCACACAAGCAGAGCATTTGCCTGTCACTAGCTCTGGAGCAGAGCGCAGACAGGAAGTGAAGACTGAGTAAATGTGTCTGGCGGACAGGAAACTGAACAACTGCAGTACTCAACCTCGAGGCAGAACCGGAAGAGCAAAATTCACACGGCCCATTACCTTTTGTGTACAACACCCAGAGTCCTAGGAGAGAGGGGATTTGTTACATTCCTGGCTATACATTTTGTTAATCAAATGTTTATGTAGCCCTTTGAGGTGTGGGTTCTAATTCTCTGTTTCCTGTATGGAAAGATGAAGTGACTGAGCTACTAAATAATAGAAGAGATCTGAATCCATGTGTAACCCTGAGACTAGCGTTACTAGTGCTTCTATATTTAATTTTTAGATTTACTTATTTTGCTCTATTGTATAACTATGTCTTGCTAGCGTGTCCATATTTGCGAGCCTGCTGCCCACAGAGATCAGAAGACCAAATCAGATCCCCTGGAACTAAAATCACGGATGGTTGGGAACCACCACCCTGTAGGTGCTGGCAACCCAACCTGGGCCCTGTGGAAGAGCAGCCCTTCCCTGCTGAGCCTCCTCTCCCGCTCCAGCCCCGCTTTTGCATTTTTAAACGCTTTGGGTTTCTGTTTTGTTTTTGTGGATGTTTTCCTTTGCTCTTTGTTTTCTGGAGGCTTTAACTGTTTTCTTTGTGTTGTTGGTGGTGTCTTGTTTGTTTGTGGAGGCTTTCACTGTTTTGTTTTTTGGTGGTATTCTCTGTGGTGTTAAAGAGCAAATCCAGGGTTTCATGCATGTCACAATCTTTATTTTTATTTTTTAAGACAGGGTCTGCTGTATAGCTCTGTCTGGCAGGGAGCTCAGATAAATTCATTCACCTGCTTCTGCCTCCCAAGTGCTGTAATTAAAGGTGTGCTAGATTTTTTTTAAAAATGGGTTTGTAGTTAGTTTTCTATTACTCTTTATTTTTTGGGAGGCCTGCCACTCAGCCTCCCAAAGTCATGACACAGAGGCTTATTATTTCTTACAAATGCCTGGCCGTAGTTTTTAGTTTGGCTTATCTCTAGCCAGCTTTTCAACTTAAATTGTTCCGTCTGCCTTTGCCCCTGGCCCTTCTCTCCTCGCCCTCCCTCTCTCGATTCTTCTCTCCTCGAATGTTCTCCTCATATTTATTCTCGAAGCCTGCCAGCCTCAGCTGTTTCTCCTCTTTATTAGACCGATCAGGTGTTTTAGGCAGGCACAGTAACACAGCCGCACAGAGTTAAACAAATGCAACATAAAAGAATGTAACACACCTTTACAGCATAAACAGATGTAACACTTCTTAAAAATTAGTAATCTACGTGGGTTGATCCCAGTCATGTGGTCTACACCTGTAATTTCATTTCTTTTGAGATTGAGGCAAGAAGGGGCAGTTTTGAGGCCAGCCTGGGCTGCTTAGTAAGATCTTTACAGCACAGCAGCAAAACATGTTCACTGACAAATGGTATGCAGAGACTTAATTGAAATAGACTCCTCCTACAGTGGGATGGGTTTATGTGCAAACTTCTTACATACAGATTTACTGTTTGTTTAGAGCAAACAAACCTGTTTTTTGTTCTCTTACCATTTATCTCTAAAATCTTGTCTTGTTTACTATTTTGGTTTTTCAAGACTGTTCTCTGTAGTCCTGGCTGTCCTGGAACTCACAATGTAGACCAGACTGCCCTAGAAACTCAAGAGATGTGCCTGTCTCTGCCTCCCAGTTGCTGGGATTAAAGGTGTGTGCCATCACCACCAAATGTTAGCTATGAAATCTGATTATTGAGCTTCCTGGCAGAAAAGACCCAGCCAGGATCAAGAATGGGCATGGAGGGTCAGGAAACTTCCTGAACCCAAACTAGTTATGGAGCAACACCAGGCTCAAGAAACTCCCGTGCACACCCAGTCCCACCACAGAGGACTCTGACGCACTGTGTGTTTTAAAAGTAATCAACTATTAGCTGGTGGTAGTGATGCATGCGCTTAATCCCTGCACTGAGGAGACAGGCAGGCAGATCTGAGGTCGATGTCAGCCTGTTCTACAGAGCGAGTTCCAGGACAGCTGGGGCTACACAGAAAAACCCTATCTCAATAAACAAATAAGTAAGATTTGACTATAATGAATACCTGTGTTTAAGAGCCACTGACCCTAAAAGATTGACAGTCTGTTTCAAAAACACTGGGAGCTTTAATGTAAAGAAAGCATCACTTTCTCTTCAGTAGATGGTTTAATAAAAATCAGTATAGAACTGCACTGTACAGTACAGAACTGTTGGGCTCTGTCTCTAGCACTGGGAAGTTAAAGGAGTTGGAATCACACTGATAATCACTCATTTCTTAAGGCCACACTAGCCATATGTTTCATTTATTTTGGTTTTTCAAGACAGGATTTCTCTGTGTAACAGCCCTAGCTGTCTTGGGACTCGCTCTGTAGACCAGGCTGGCCTCGAACTCACAGAGATCCACCTGCCTCTGCCTCCAGAGTGCTATGACTGAAGGTGTGCGCCACCACCACCCGCCTCACACAGCCATACTTAAGAGTATTATAACCTTTAACAGATAAGCTTCCCTGATAAGAGTGCCATGATTCAGGAAGTTCCTGGTGACTCCAGTCTTTGGGGGGCGGGGAGTTGGTTTTTGGCTTTTCCAGATAGTGTTTCTCTGTGTGGCCCTGGCTGCCCTAGGATTTGCTCTGTAGACCATGCTTGCCTCCACCTCAGAGACTGGCCTGCTGTAGTGGCCTGCCTCTGCCTGCTGGGCACTGAGTTAAAGTTGTGAGCCACCACTGCCCAGCTCTGGGACCCCAGCTTTTAACCGTAAATTCCAAATTTGACACCAGCTGAACTTTTGCCTCCTGTGAGTTCTGTCAGCTTCAGAGCTGTCCCCCTTCACCCTTAAAAAGACACCAGGAAACATTGGATCCTAAGGGAACCTTTAGTTTTTAATCATAGATACGGCGGCTCCTAAAATGGAGGGTCAACGGAAACTATAGAGATGCCCTGTGACGATCCCTTCAGCTTTTACCTCTCGGCTGTTCACTTCCAGGTGTAAAATACTAGACAGACATTTGGCAATTCTGGCCAAAAAACATCTGGAAACCAAGTTTTTGAAGCTAAATGTGGAAAAGGCACCATTCCTCTGCGAGAGACTTCGGATCAAAGTCATCCCCACACTAGCGCTCCTGAGAGACGGCAAGACACAAGACTATGTTGTGGGATTCACCGACCTAGGAAATACAGATGACTTCACTACGGACACGTTGGAGTGGAGACTTGGTTGTTCTGACGTTATCAATTACAGGTAACCTTGAGCAAAAACAAACCAAAAAATAGGCCTTTTTGAGATTGATTGATTGATTGATTTGTATGTTAACATTTATTTTATTTTGTGATATAAAATCCTGTTGGCTAAGATGTAGACAGCTTAGGAAAAGCCGGTTTTTTTCTTTCTTTCTCTTCCCCCCCCCCACCCCCCAGACAGGGTTTCTCTGTGGTTTGGAGCCTGTCCTGGAACTAGCTCTTGTAGACCAGGCTGGTCTCAGACTCACAGAGTGTTACTTGTGGGACAGTCTAAAATCCACCTTCCATTTTTTGTGCATAGCTTTGTCCCTTCCATATAGAAAGTACCGCCGAGTTTTGTGCTTATTTTTGCTTTAAAGGGAGAAACGGAAAAGAGAGAGACAGACAAGGAAGCAGAGAATCTCCCTTTCTCTCCTGTTTCTGCTCACTACTCTGAGTTCCCACAAACATGGATGAATCCTTCCTGTACTGTGGAAGTCCATTTCTCTCTAAAATTAGCTGGGTTTCTAAGAAGTTGTGCTTCCTGTCAGTGGCAAATGGTAGCTTTTTCTTTCGTATTTTTCATTTATTGATTAATTTATTTACTGTTTATTTAGGGCAGGCTCTCACTCTATAGTCCAAATGGTTCTCACATTCACAGTCCTACTTGAGCCTCCTGGCAACTGGAATTACAGGCATGTGCCAGTAACTACAGCCTGGATACCAGGAATACTCCCCAGACACACATATAAAACTATCTGAACATTTATGCCAGTCCAGGCTGACGGTAGTGCATTCCTTGGGTTTTACCGGTGTGTGCAAAAATGTAAACATTGTTGTGCCACACATTGAGTCCCAGCAAGAGCACAAACAGAGCAGTGTGGCCTATCATCATCATTAGCCAGGGGTCAGCACATCCTGTCTGCTTTGGAATGTTAATGCTCAGTGTGCAGAGGGCAGGGCTCCCTCTCATCGCCCCTAAAACGTTTATAATGGTTATGATCGTGATACACAAGGAACTCAAATGCTGATCTAACACAGTTAAGTAAGGTGTGAAACTATTACTCTTTAATAGTAATGCATTTTACAGTCTAGCATCCCAAATGTATTAAATCATAAAAAATAAAATGCTCTTGAACTTTGTTTCACTTTTAGTGGAAATTTAATGGAGCCACCATTTCAGAGCCAAAAGAAATTTGGGACAAACTTCACAAAGCTGGAAAAGAAAACTATCCGAGGAAAGAAATACGATTCTGATTCTGATGATGACTAGACTGTGCTGTACTTGTAAACCGTCTGTCTGTCTGTCCACTTACTTCAGAGTCAAGTGTATTTCTACAGTCCCTTGATTTCTGTCCAGTGCCCACACTACTTCCACATGGAAGGACGTCATTAATTACTATATTGTGTGTAACTTAAGAAACAGATATTTTAAGTTACCTGGAAAGGGTCTGGATTCTATTTTTTGTGATTAGTTTTATCATAACATAATTCTATTATCTTTATACCACTCACACTTGTGTTTTTAATCTATTGAATTAGAAATAAAAATTCAGCCAACTATTCCAGGATGTAGTGCGTGCTGCCTATAGGAAAGTCGGGTGACGTTTCGTGGTGTGCCACGTGCACTTGTCAGTGACCCCTCACCCCACTGGGGGGAGTGTGCTTCAGGAACCTCCGTTCCGAGTCCAACCCCCAGGGACCCACTTGGAAGGAGGGAAGCAATTTCTGCAAGTTGTCGTGTAACAACGTACACGCATAAGTCCAGTAAACACAAGTTGAATGTCAAAGGGTGACTTGGGATTTGGAGGCGATCCAGAGCAGGAAAGAACAGGAACGTGCAGAGCAAGCATTAATAAACTGAAAGTGACATAGCGGGGCTGGTGGTTGGCACAGCAGTTACGAGCACGAGGCACACGTGTACATGTACATGTACACACATCCAGGCAAGGTACATGTGTACATGTAAACTGAGGTGGATCTAATTGTTAAAATGCATAAGATCCTAGGGCTTCAACAGCCCTGTTCTGAGCAGGAAAGCATAGCAGAAAAGGTTCAGGTAAAACTGAAATGGCTAATCATGAACATCTCTATCCCAATAAATTAAAAGCAAACAAATTCCTAGTGAAATGGCTAATCATGAACATCTCTATCCCAATAAATTAAAAGGAAACAAATTCCTAGTGAAATGGCTAATCATGAACATCTCTATCCCATTAAATTAAAAAGAAACAAATTCCCAGAAAGACCAACTAAAAAAGTACCCAAGAAGGAATAAAAAGTGGCGTAGATATCTGGAGAGGGCTCGATGGCTAAGAGCACAGCACCTGCTTTTGCAGAGAGCTCAGGTTTGGTACCTAGTGCCCATGTCAGTGGTGGCTCACAGCTGCTTGTAACTCAAGCCAAAGGGGCCTGGAGCCCTTTACCGGCCTGTGCAGGCACCCGTACACACAAGTGCAGACTCAGATATACAAGAAGGAAAGCCTTTACTCATTTATTTAATTTAGGCAGGTAAAAGAGAGAGAATTTCTAATGGAAAGGTCTAACACCAAATGACTATCCTGATAATTCAGCAAAACATTATTAAAGAATAACATCAGTTTTCACAAATTTTAAAACTAAAGCATGAGATGACTTTATTTCCTCCTATTGGGCTAGCATGAAGCTAACACCAAGGCCAGACTGCAACATCACAAAATTATAGAGACCAATAACTCAAAAAATACTAGCAAACTAAAGCCCAGCAACATAAGAAAACAAGACTGCATCTTATGGCCACACATGCGTGCGCATATACCCAAATACAGACAGAAACACACATAATTTAAAACAAGTCTTACCACACAGAGTCTTAGGGTTTTTTGAGACAGGGTTTCTTCCTGTATACCTGGCTGTCCTGTAACTAGCTCAGTAAACCAGGCTGGACTCAGACTGGGAGATCTGCCTCCCTAGTTTTGGAATTAAAGGCTTGCCCCACTACCGCCTGACACATTTTAAATCGATGTCATTCATCCTGTAGCTACAATCGGGAAGCAAGTAAGAACAGCTTCCCTGACAGAGCTGACCTAAAGCACAATCGGAGACAGGAGGCTTCACAACAGGCTCTGGGGTAGACAGTAGACCCAAAGCTGCCTCTGACCCACCGAGGAAGAGTGAGAAGAAAAAAGTAGTCTGTCTTCTAAAGATAAAGACGGGGAGCGATTCGGAAATCCACAAAGGCAGGTATAACGACAAAACCAACCCAAGCATATGTGTGACTCAGTGGCAAGGGGTTATGTCAGCTAAGCCAGGAGTCCTGGTGAAGAGTCCCGCAACCACCTTCAGGGGAGCCACAGCCCTCAGACCCAGCTGTGGGCTTTGATGCGACCCTGACTCCTCTGGCAGGCAGGTCTGCGGTAGAGGGGACTCTCTCTGCTGGCACCAGCTTGACGGGGAACTGAGCTGCACTGGGAGCCTGAGAATGGAGAACCACCACACAACGGCCAGCCCAAGTTCAGTCAGCGCGGTTCAGTTCAGGAATGACAGGCAACTGTTAGGAGCAGTTTTCCCGCCAGTCTGGTCCCACAGCCGCGTCAGCCCCAAATAACACACGGAGACCTGTATTACATATAAAGCTGTCGGCCTGTCACTAGCGTTTTTTAATTGGCTAGCTCTGTCTTAAACATTAACCCATTTTGCATCTCCCATCAGACAACCCTGGGAGGAGGTATGTAGAATGGGGAGGGGGGGAGACTCTGCATGCTGACAGCTAATGTAGGACAGAAGTTAGGGTGGTACGGTGCACAGGATAAAAAGTCCTACCCCGGTTGCGAGGAGCCGATCACATCAACTGTAGCCCTATGCCGGTGTTCAGCAGGTGGGTACAGATGCAATGCCTGGAGACTAAAGCTCCAGCAGACAACCGCACCCTTCCGGTAAGGTGAGTGAAAGTACGAGTCAAAAAACGTGCAACGTGTGGTCCTGGTTGCTTCCGTGCTCCCAGTGCACAGGGAGACATCCACCTGTGAATGAATAGTCTCTGGGGAGTGAAAGCCAGACCACAGACTGCAAAACTAAGGGTGGCCAGTAGAGGATCCTAGTACACAAAAAAGGGAAGCTACTGAAGTAGAACAGGCCCTATGGGCTCCAGACGCTCCCAACAGGGCTTAACCATAAAAAAGAGCCCTCCGGTTCAGCATCCCTCACTCCCACACAGAGGAGCAGCAGGCTGCACGTTCAAATAGGAAATAACTAGAGAAATTCCAATATAACATTTCTGGAATCGTGTAATATGTTTACCTATAAAACTAAGACTAATGGTCCTTGCCAGCGAAAGTACCTGTGATGACCCATCCCTCAGTCCCCCGAAATACTGAAAATTCAAAGCTGCCAGAATCGATGTTGCCGTGCCAACCCAACTATCCACCAATAGACGTATGGATAAGCAAGTTGGGATGTATAATGGGCCAGTGCTAAATCATAAAATATTGAAATCTTATTCATCCTCTGTGCTGGTCAGTGTTTTTGTTTTGTCACCTTAATACAGGTTAGTGTCATTTGAGAAGAAGAAGCCTCAAGTGAGATGACGGGAGATGCCATTCTGTAAATATGTTTCTCTTATTGGTTAATGAATAAAGCCCTGTTGGCCAATAAGAAGGCAAGATCGGTGGTTGTAAGAGACAAGGAGGATTCTGGGGGATGTAGTGGAGGAGAATCAAGACGTAGAGACTGGAGGGAAAGGGTCTGGACCCTCTCTCCAATAAGATAAGACCACTTGGAAACACTTAGATTAATAGAAATGGGTTAATACTTAAGACAGAGCTAGCCAATAAGAAATGCTAGCAAATGACCAACAGCATTATATCTAATACAGCATCTCTGTGTGTTACTTGGGGCTGACACAACTCTGGGATCAGATGATGATAAGACTGCTCATAACATTGCAGCATGCTAAGCTCTTGACTCATAAATGCAGAAGCCTCACTAGTACCCAGTAATGGTTGGTTGTACATGTCCACATAAAGGGTCATGGTACCCGGATATATGATTGCTATAGTTGGGTTCTGGAATGTCTCTCAAACCCTCATATATTGGAGGTCAAATGTTTCTGGAGTTTTCTTGTCCTGCTAGGTCCCTCATCTGCTTCAGCCCCAAATAAACATACAAAGACACTATGTAAATTATAAAACTGTTGGCCAATGACTAGGGCTTCTTATTGGCTTGCTCTGTCTTAATTATTAACTCATTTCCACGTGGTCTTGGCTTACTGGGGAATGCCCGGACCTGTTACTATTTATTGGGGCTATGTTGTATTTCTTTGTAATCTCTCTATCTTTCCCAGAATTCTCCTCGTCTCCTACTCCTGTCTTTATTGGCCAGTGTTTTATTCATCAACCAATAATAGAAACATATATACAAAAGGATGCACCTCATCAGTTGAATCCCCAGATGGTGATGGTTTTGGCAGATGTTGGAAACTTTAGGCACTGACATCCATTTAAAAGGAGTTAGGTCATTGGAATCTCCTCTTCCTATTTTTTCCTTTGCTCCAACATGCTCTCCCTGACATAATGTTCTATTTCACTATAGACCTGAGTGATGGGGCCAAGGAACTATAGACTGAAACCTCTGAAACTGTGAACTAAAATAAGCTTTGTTTTCCTTATTAGTTGATTATCCCAAGTATTTTACCACAGCCGTAGAAACCTATTGCTAAACTCCCTTCCCAGGGGAAGACAAAAGCAATCTCTATCCCTCTTCATAACGTCCCAGTGACCAGCAGGGCACAATTCACCAGAAGTTACTCAGGGAACCCATGAGTTTATTGGGTTTACTTATAGAACATAAGCAAGGGGCTACTTGCAGGAGTGTGTATGATCCCTCTCCAAAAGCTGCATCGAAGAACCTTCATTCAGTAGGGATAATGCCTTTTCCAGAGACACATAACTAGAACCTCCCTTCCACTAGTCTCCTCTGGCCTATAAAGTCTAGCCTCTCTCCAAGGATACATAAAATAAGAGGAGAAATGCATATAGCAGGTGGTATAGAGTGGCTGGATACTCAGGCAAGGATTCTGTGACCTTCTCCACCCCTCCTCCATCAACAAGCCCAGATGGGAAGATCTTTTGCAAGCAGGCCCAACTGAACTCCAGAAGATGGGGTTTGTTTGGCTTCAAGGAAAGTCATGTATAACAAAAACCGACCTCTACAATGGTCAAACATTATTATGGCTGTTTCTGTGATGGTGTTTAGGGATAAAATTAATATTCCATCAGTAGACTCTGTGTAAAACATACCCCACAATGTGGGGGAAGTGCCATCTTATAAACTCAGGCCCTACGAGAAAAAACTCTTGGTCCTTCTCTAAGCAAGAAGCAACAGGAAGTGTTAAACTTGAACTTCAACACTGGTTTTTCCTGGCCTCTGGTTTGTAGACTTTACACTTGCTAGCCTCCATAATTGTGAGCAAAGTCTTAAAATAAACGTCTGATCCGAATGCTTGTCTGTAATTCCAGCTACTTGGGAAGCTAAATCAGGATTATGAGTTCAAGGACAACCAAATAGGAAGCTCTTATTTCAAAAGA